GCGAAAGAAATTAGCCATACCTACGAATCCTTTGGCAGCCTTGGTGGTTGTTGGTGTCGGGAAATCTTGAATAGCTCGGATGTTCCTTTCCGCTGGAGAATATAGGTTGCCAGATATCTCGTGACCTAAAAAGTTTATATGAGAGCGAGCAATTTCGGTCAGCTTCTTACCGGAAGCTTTAATATTATGGAGGCGAAATCTATAAAAAACTTTACGAAGAGAGTTCATATGACTCTGAAAGTCCTTATCGAAGACCACAATATCGTCCAGGTATGCCAGACAATTGGCCTCCAGACCAGCCAAAATCCGTGACATGGCCCTAGAAAAATAAGCGCCAGCATTTTTCAAGCCAAACGGTAGGTAAACAAACTGGTAAATTCCACGATGGGTGGCCCAGCCACACTTTTCCTGACTCTCAGGTGACAGCAAAAGCTGCATGTAGCCTGTGGCTAAATCTAGGGTAGTGTAAAACTTGCGACCTGATATCTTAGCAAGGATATCCTCAATCCGAGGCAATGGATAGTGGTCCGGGACTGTGATATCATTTAGCGGGCGAAAGTCTAAGCATACTCGAAGTGACCCGTCCTTCTTTTTAACGAGGACTGTGTTATGGACCCATGGTGCATCGCTTTCGACGATGCGCCCTGCGCGAAGCAACTTAGTTGATGTGGTCATCCAGCTCCTTCTGGAATTTTACCGGGATACGAGGCGGACGGAAACGAGTAGGTGGTGTTTCCGTCGTCGTCTTAATTACTATCTCAGAGTCCTCATAAGAGCCTAGGTCGTACGAACTGGTGGAAATTCTATCTCGGAATTCATAGAAAAGCTGAGCTAGTTGCTCCCGTTCGTGTTCATTGACCTCTGCATGGGAGAGGTCAATACGGTCAGGATCAAACGAATTCTTTGTTTCGGGACGGTCCGCCCGGGAAGAAATTAGCCCCACAAAAGGGGAGGAATCAAAAGGAGACGAAGAGGAAAGTGTGGACTCACTTTGTGAGAGAGGTACCGCAGATGACATCAGCTGACCTTTATATAGAGTCTCCGGACGAGGCGAAGGATTGGCGACCAGAGAAATGGACCAGTGGAGTTGATGACTGCAGGAGTAACCATCAGCGACCTCTCTAAAGTTCTCACTTTGAGAAACAAGCATCAAAGGTGGGCTGGTGTCAGTGTCCCGATGCATCGAACAAAGGTTTCAGCCGTCGCGGGGAGTGCTGTAGTTTCGGCGACTCGAACTGCGACTGGCTGGTCTGGGGGTGGGATGCCCTCCGCCGGAGACGCGCACAATACTTTACCGTAATACAGTTAGTCCACGGTCGGCGAGCTTATGCGGAGCCAGGGATCGTTGCCAAGAATTTGATTAATATAAGCGATCAACCTCGTCGGCGTCATACAAGCACGATCTCCGTGGAAATAGAGCGGGATGCTTCAAAAGACAACGAACAATCTGCGAAAACCCCTTCTCTGGGGACACCCAGCTGGTGTCTTCCTCAAGCATACGTAATATCGCTTTTCCTAGCAGCTTCAATTCTTCTGCTCTTGCTCTGCCTCTCACTATCTTCCATAACCTTATTTTAACTAATTTGACCGAGCTGGTGCAAGACCATCAATGGTCAGAGTTGTGGTCTTCTGTTACACCTGACCACTTTTTGAAGCTGGCTTCTTCGGCGTCGGGAGCACTCTCTCGCGGTGATACTATTCCCTCTTCTGTTAATGTCTCTTTCTGGTCCGCCATATTAGGGTCTTGGTCGTTTTTTGACCTTTGGGTCATCATATGTTGCATCTCCGTTTCTGCCGGCATGCTTAAGGCTGCCATTATTCTCTACTGTAAGCTGAATATTCCGGGCTGGAAGCCCCGATTCCAAGAACTACTTTCGCTTCCGAGTACGGTTTTGCAACGTGAAAACGCTGCACCCACACGGAAGCTGGCAATTGTCCCTTCGGTGGAATGTCCGCCGCCAGCTGTGGATGTACTCGAAATAGCTCAGGTGGAAATTGATGCCACCTCTTCGTGGCCACCACGCGCATCGTTAAGTCCCATAAAAATGCTATATTTGGCAGGCCACGACCGTTTTTTTGTAGCTCAAATTCCCATCACAGTGAACGGTATCCGTGTACTAGCGCTTATTGACACCGGCGCTTCAATAACAATTACTACAGCAGCCACGGCGCCCTTGTTTGGAGTCTTCTCAATCAAGAGAAGCGACGTAACCAGCGCGGTAGGAATGGCCGGCATCCCCGTCCATTTGTTAGGCTGCGCCCCGCTTGCTTTTCAAATTGGTTCGTTGTCCTTTTGAACACCCCGTCTATTTCACGGAATCGGCTTGTATACCCGACGAGGTTGACGCTTATAATATCATTCTTGGCAACGACCTGCTCCGCAAGCTGCCCACCGTGGACTATTGATTACGGTAGCCGTACCTTTTCTATGGCTGATCAGCAGGTGAAAATATTGTGCGCGTCTCCGGCGGAGGGCATCCCACCCCCGAACCAGCCGGTCGCAGTTCGAGTCGCCGAAACTACCGTACTCCCCGCGACGGCTGAAACCTTTGTTCGATGCACCGTGGACACTGACACCAGCTCACCTTTGATGCTTGTTTCTCAAAGTGACAAACTTTCAGAGAGGTCGCTGATGGTTACTCCTGCGGTCATCAACTCCACTGGTCCATTTCTTCTGGTCGCCAATCCTTCGCCTCGTCCGGAGACTATATAAAGGTCAGCTGATGTCATCTGCGGTACCTCTCTCACGAAGTGAGTCCACACTTTCTTCTTCGTCTCCTTTTGATTCCTCCCCTTTTGTGGGGCTAATTTCTTCCCGGGCGGACCGCCCCGAAACAAAGAATTCGTTTGATCCTGACCGTATTGACCTCTCCCATGCAGAGGTCAATGAACACGAACGGGAGCAACTAGCTCAGCTTTTCTATGAATTCAGAGATAGAATTTCCACCAGTTCATACGACCTAGGCTCTTATGAGGACTCTGAGATAGTAATTAAGACGACGACGGAAACGCCACCTACTCGTTTCCGTCCGCCACGTATCCCGGAGCCGGCACTATTCACTACTGTCGCTCGCTTCCAGCACGCGCGCCACGTCTACATTGGGGATCAGCATCAGCTCTCCCCACACGCTAAGTGCCCGCACAACTCCAATCCTGTGCTCCACGGTGCTCGTAGCGTAATGTCAACCCTGCTCAACGCTCCTGCCGTGCCGGTGGCCCCGCTCATCACCACCTTCCGCTCGCACCCCGCTCTGTCGAGCTTCCCAACCGCATTGCGTATGACGGTGCGCTCGTCAGCGGTATTCCTGCCGGCGACCGGCCGCTGCTATTTGGGCTCATGTCCTTCCCAAACCCCCGCGTTCCCTTCATGTTCATCGACGTGAGGGGCGAGGCCGCACGCGCAGCCAGCAAGTCATATTACAATGACTTGGAGGCCGTCGCTTGTAAAAACCTCGTCGGTCGGCTCATAGATCTAGGCATTACTCCTCCATCGATCTGTGTAATTACATTTTACAGGGAGCAGTATCGGCAGATGAAGGAGTCCCACTACAATCCTCATGGTGTCGAGATCACGACGGTCGACTCTGTGCAAGGACGCGAGAAATCGGTAGTGATTGTTCTTACCACTAAAACTGATTTTGCTCCAGATTCGACTGAGTTCCTGGGCGACTACCGCAGCCTGAACGTGGCCGTCTCCCGCTGCCGCGACGGCTAATTCATCATCGTCCTCGGGACGATACCGACATGGAGCCGAGTGCTGGAATGGGCCGACTCGATCAACGCCATAGTCCCGAGTACCTCCGTGGGACAATACCTTCGGAACCCTCAGCTGCCGCCCCGCTAACTCCCCTCCGGTGAGCCAGTTCTTGTTAGACCCGGGAGTCATATCTTTAAAGTCCGGGACGGACTTTTGGTAAAGGGGGGAGGTGTGAGTGCAGCGCCTTGCAGGCGCAGCTCAGATTCCTTGACTCATGTTTTGCTTTCAGGGCGTGGCGATGGAGCGATCAGCTTCTTCGGGGAGTCGACCTGCCTCTCGGAC